GGTCTATGGATGGGGTAGTTTTGCTCCTGCGAACCATAAGGATCCCCCAGCAGGGATGGCCACCGACTGGGGCTGGGTGGGGTGGGGAGCCCCAAGGACCCCACCAGGAATTCAGGGCATGACAGAATCATTCAGGTTGAAAAGACCTTGAAGATCATTGAGTCCAACCGTTACCCCAGCACTGCCCAGTCCACCACTAACCCACGTCCCTCAGCGCCACATCTGCCCGTCTTTTAAATCCCTCTGGGGATGGTGCCTCCACCTCTTCCCTGGGCAGCCTCTTCCAATGCTTAACAACCCTTTCGGTGAAGAATTTTTTTCTAATATCCATCCTAAACCTCTCCTGGTGCAACTTGAGGCCATTTCCTCTTGTCCTATCTCTTGTTACTTGGGAGAAGAGGTCAGCATCTCCCTTGCTCCAGCCTCCTGTCAGGGAGCTGTAGAGAGCGAGAAGGTCTCCCCTCAGCCTCCTCTTCTCCAGGCTGAACACCCCCAGGTCCCTCAGCCGCTCCTCATCAGATGTGTCCTCCAGACCCCTCACCAGCTCCCTTGCCCTTCTCTGGACACGCTCCAACACCTCAACGTCCTTGTCGTGAGGGGCCCAAAACTGAACACAGTATCTGAGTATTTTGGGAGACTTTGGATGAAGATCCCTTTCCTGGTGGCCAAACAGGGTCGTCATCATGTTCCATGTGTGCTGCCGATGGAGCTGGCTGCTGGATGAAGGATGTGCGGGAGCTCCAGAAGGAGCCAAGGATGCTCCCAATTAGGCAGCACTATAATTACCCACATTTGTTGCTTTTTTTTCCTTGTCCCCAAGCAATGGGAAAGAGGGTGGTGGCGTTCAGAGCTCCCACCGTGAGTCACCCGGTGGAGGAGCAGCCCCGGAGAGGGGCCGAGGGTGCTGGGTGACATGTAGCGGCACGCGAGGACCTGGGATGGGAACCCTCAGGGCACCGATGCCGGGGAAGGGGACCAGCCCCGGCCCTGCTCTCCTCACTGGCTCCATCCCCCCCACCGCACTGGGATCACTGAGCTGATAAAAATAGGGAGGAAAAAATTAAATCTGACTTTGCTGCCGGGAGCTTCTGCTCTCGTTTTGCAGCGTAAGCAGCCGGGCGAGCTTGTTAAACGTGGCTTCGTGGCCGGAGGGTGAGGAGAGCTGGAGAAAAGCAGCCGCTGTGCCGATGGGCGGCTGGAGAGGAGCGGTGGAGGACGGGGATGGGGACACCGGGGCACGCAGAGGCTCCCGAGGTTGGGGCGTGCGGGTTGGCAGTGGCATCATTATTTGGGATGCAGCCGCTGCTCCTGGCGGCCGGGCCGGCATCACTCTCAGCGCCGCGGTGGCCTCTCTCCCTCGCAGACGGCAGCGCAATATTTCGGGGGTGTTTCCGCCGGCCGGACAACGTCTCCATCGCCCTGCCCGTCAGCCAGCTCATGCTCAACATGTCGGTGGACAAATGCGTGGACTTCTGCACTGAGAAGGTACCGGGGGACTAGGGGGGTGTGTGCAGGTCAACAGCTTCATCATCATCATCACGCCGGGTGAATTTTGATGTGATTTAGTGTCGTAATTATACGTATCCAAATTGCAAAGGATCAAATTGATTGTCGGTGTCTCTGCCACAGGGAGGGAATGGACAGCGTGTCCCCACAGAGGTAGCCCCCGC